GAGACTGAATATGAAATGTTTCGCACCCCCCTTTTCAGCATTAAAAAACAAAAAATAATTACTTTTATTCACTTTTGACATCTTAATGTATGCCATTTAAAGATATACGACAAAAACTTTTTATTTCCCTTCCTTTTTTTCCATATAAATCATGTAATATGTTTAGTTTTCAAATCCACGTATTTATTGCATTTTCTGTGCTTCCATAGATATATCACTGAAAGATGCGGATTCGACCTGCTCCGCATCTTACCTTTAGATTGCAACCAGTATTTCCGGCGACAACATTGCTCGGGAACACGCACATGAAGAATGGTAAGTTTTTTTTACTTTTTAGAAAGCTTTTAAGATATTCTTTCAATTTTACTGACAAGGAAAATTTAGAGGATGTATAGAGTGTCTTCTTTTACGATTTAGTATTCATTAACGCGGCATTTATATACGTAAAAATTTTGAACGAAAACTATTACATATCCAGTAAAAACAAAGAACTACTTACCATAATGCGACAATTTGCTCTAGAAAATCTGTCACCGAAAAACGCACGTGAATTCCGCAAATAGGTAGATTAAGCTATACGTGATAGGTTTAAATACCTAGATAGCTATTTTTAGCTATATAGGTGGATCTAGTGATTTTCCTGGACCTGTGCATGGTTAAATGAGACTGCACTTCTTTCATGATAATTTAAAAAGAGAGTTTATACATTTGATATATTTTAAGGAGGATGCTGGTAGGAGTTCAATGTGCGAAGGATGTCCCGGACAAGCAATGTGCAGAGCTCAGGGTAACACTGAAGTTCACATCCCATCTGACAAAAAAAATCTCAAAATTTCCTAGTTTGATCATGTTTTGTTGATAGTTATAATTCAAAGAGTTCTTATCTTTGCTAGCCAATGGTTACTGAAACGCTACTCTCCTCATAAACCGTTGGCCTAAGGTGTTAAAAAAAAGTCAGGATTATTTTTCTCAAGTTCTGGTAGGATTGTATCAACATTGATCGACCAATCAGCAATTATCTTTTGTAAATGACAATATGCATCTTGGATTTGCATTCTGTTTTGACTCTTTACTCTCGGTAATGAAAAATGCAAGTATACAACCATCACATGCCATTCTATGAATAGATATGGTGTCATCCACTATCTTAAAGCCATATATGGCGTATGTACAATGAAAATTATTAGACTAAAATTATAAGAACTTGTTATTTGTATCACTACTTTATATTTTATTTTTTAGAAACTAGTAAACAGGGTTTAAGTTATTTTAGGTTTGTCAGTTTTAATGTGGTGAATAATATGTCATTGTAAAGCACCACGGAGAAATAGTGATATTTTAGTAGTGTGATATCGATGTAATATTTAAAAACTGTTTCTTGTTTATTATGTATGATTGTTGTATTTTATGTAACATTATTATGTAGTCGGAAAATAGCTCTTCAGAGCTAATGTTCTTTGTTGATGTACCCGACTTTAAATAAATATTATCTTATCTTATCTTATCTTTTATAAAGATAGAACTTTTCCGTAAATTACAAAATCTAAGTCAATTGCGTTATAAAGATATCACAATTTAATTTGGATTCTCGGAATTTTCTCCGACTCGGAAGAAAATACAAAGGATTTAAATAACACATTACAGAGAGATAAAAATCGTATTATTAGATGAAACGAGGTGTTCTCCGTGTTCAGAATTGTATGAAAAGCTTTAATTTAAATGTATTAACTATATTTCTTTACTTAATTTTGTACTTTTCAAAAATATATTTTTTTGATCAGTTACGCCATGTATGGCTTTAAGCAATGGGCAAAATATGATTAGGAATCTACATTGAAGATGTAAATATAAAAAGAAACCTTCTTGTTAATTATTCTTTAAAAATTCTAATGATTTAAATACGTTATTTCTGTTGATGATGCAATCTGTGTGCTCCTATTAAAAATCGAAATCATGTGACAAAAACAATCCCCTCTTTTACAAGGTATTATGAGGAGAGTAGCATATCAGGAATCCTAGGATAGTGAAGATGAAGAGCCCTGTATCCTCTCTCCCCAGTAATAAGGGGAAGAGATGTGTTGTTTTTAGCATGGTTGGTTGTCTTTTTTTTAAAATTAGCTACCTGTCTGTCACAAAATATTGAATTGGTTGCAATTTTCAAGCATTTATTTGAGGAACACCAGATCAGCTTTTAAATGCAGAGTCATGAATACTGTATACAGGGTTATTTTTGCCCTGTGTTATTTTCGCCCTTTTACACTTGCTCACAATTTTGCCCAGTTTTAAATTTGCCAATTCACAGTTCTGTTTAAGAAATTATATAGTGTGCTTTGATTTTGCCCTGTTTAAAATTCGCCCAAATGTGAAAAGGGCAAATCGGACGAAAATAAAAATGGGTCGAAAATTTCCCTGTATACAGTAATCATTTTATTAAATGTTTAATTCCCTGAAAATCTCTTCTGCAGACCTAGACCTTACTTTTGTAGGTGCGGTGGACCCAGATCAGGAGGTTATAGATGTCAGAATGGGGGCCATAAAACACAAGATCCTCGTGTTGTCTGGGAAGGGAGGTACGTAATACCAGAAGTAGAACAGGATTCAACAGTGTCAATATACTATAACCGTTACAGCTTATTATCTAGTGAGATGTTTTCTACCATGCAGCATTTTCTTACTGTTCACAGTAACACCCACCTCTGCTTTAAAACTCTTGTTCAAACTGTGAGATAAAGTATCAATTGATATCTATAAATATTAATAGTAGAAAATAGTATACTCTCATGCCTTAAATGGGAAAATTGTGTGAACTATTACCCAAACTTTACCCAAATGCGTTGTATATGAATTGAATTAACTAAAACAAATTTAGAGCTGAAGATATCCAAAATAAAAACAGGGAGATGGTTTGATGGCAAATGAATTGGAAATTCGTAAATGTCTACCCTAAATTGAAATGACTGTTTGATTTTGATTTGCAGGTGTTGGAAAATCAACTGTAGCATACTTGTTATCATTGGCTCTAGCTAAATGTCAATCATCTAAAGTGGGTGTGATTGACTTGGACATTTGTGGACCCAGTATCCCGAAGCTCTTCAATGTGGAGCACCAGTCTATTTTACAGTCACCATATGGATGGAAGCCTCTTATGTAAGTATTGAAAGTGCCAGTGCTTTTTAAGTTACCTGAGCCCAAGGCTCAAGTGAGCTTTTCTGATCAAAATTCATGGTCACTTGTCTGTTGTCATAATTTTATCTTTTTCTCTAGAAACATTGGACCAACATCAATTCAACATAGTAAAGAGTATCTTTGGGTAAAGAGAATAAAATTTTGTTCAAATGAAGGCCCACATCCTCTTCCAAGGCGAGATATCATAATTAAGAAGAGAAAATAGTGGGGTGACTGGGGTCATTGAAAAATTCTTCTTTCCAAGAATAACTCGGCCTCAGACTTATATAAGCACTTACTGACATAGGGTGGATTCAAGTTTGTTCAAATCAGGACCCCTGAGGATAGGCTAGGACAACAATGTCCATGGCTTATTAAAGTTTTACATTGAATATAAAGGAAAATAAACAGTAAAATTATGATCAATAAAATTTATTTTGAAGCATCCTCAGGAAGTGTATTCTAGTTGTTCAAATCATGACAGCCCCCCCCCCCCCCCCCCCACACACACACACTTGGGTTATGGTGGTGCTACAATGGGTGATCAAAGTTTTACTTAGCAAAATATAGGGAAAATACATTTCAAAATCTTTTCTAGAACAGTAAAGCCATGATTAATCAGATTTATATGGCACAACCTTAGGTGTTAATTCAAGTTTACTTAGTACAAATCATGAATCTTCAAAGTAGAGAGGGCCACAGAAGGGGATCTAATTTTTACATAGGAATGCATTAAGTCAAAAGTGAAAAAATCTGCTGCTGAAGAATGGAAGGTCCATAGTGTGACCAAGGTGAGTGTTTCGGCCCATTGACCATTTGTAAAAACTTACTTGTTTTTAGTAGGATATTATAATAAAAATTATCAGATTGAAAGATGGATTTTGAATACATGTATGTATTTATTTTTCATCCTAAACAAATTGAACAATCATTCAATTAACATAATACAACTTTACATGTATATAAAAAAAAATCTGCAAATTTCTAAAAGGATGTTTCCCCCCTTTCATTCTTTCTTTTTCAACATACAAACAACTACTTTTTCAGATCTCCCAATGGCGATATCAAGGTAATGTCTGTGGGATCTCTCCTCGAATCTGATAAAATGTCCATCATTTTCCGAGGACCGAGAAAGACAGGTAATCTGGTACAGTTATTTATAGCTCATGACATCACTCACTCTTCTATGAAATTCCATCTTACATTAAATGCTGATTTTAAATATTTTGCAATTTTAGGTTTGATTAAAAGATTCCTGAAGGAGACATTCTGGGGAAAATTAGATTTCCTAATTTGTGGTCAGTACGTCATGGACATAAGTATACTTTGCTATGTATTATGTCTTCAGAAACAATATATTTTTTGAGATTTTAATACATATCATTTCTGATAAGAATCTTATTGTTCAATGGTAAGCAAAACTTTGTTAGTTTGTGGGGACATAATTTCTTGGGTAACTCATTTTTACAGAAGATTCAATGAATAAATTTGTTGACAAAATAATTGTTCAGGGAGATGTAACCCACGAAATCCACAAACATTGGTCCCCACAAACATGGATGATTTCACTGTACATGTAATTACTGTTAAGAATCTTGTTGATTTTTAATTCTTATCGAGCAGACACTCCCCCTGGAACAAGTGATGAACACATGGCGATTGTCAAACTTCTGAAAAATGTCAAACCAGATGGAGCCATCCTAGTTACCACTCCTCAGGAGGTTGCCATGGCAACCATTAAAAAAGAAATCAATTTCTGTAAGAAGATGGGTTTGTCCATCCTGGGGATTGTAGAAAATATGGGTGGCTTTGTCTGTCCTTGCTGTAAGGTTAGTGTTATTGTCTAAGAAGTTTTATAATGAAATTCATTTAAATGGAGCTTAAACATAATACAAGTTTAATACAAGTTTAACCCCTTCACTTCCGTACCGGTCAAATTGACCGGTGGCGCGTTAAAACACGACTTCGCGAAAATAAGATCTCCGTATCTATTTAATGGTAACATGAAGGTATATAAACTATATATCATCTTTTTGGAAATTTTCTCTACTTTTAAAATATTTAAAAAGATAATGTCTTGATTACCGGTATTTAATCGATTTTACGTTGTAAATACAAACGTGACTTTTTGAAAATGGCGTAATTTTCCAAAGCGATTGCCGATTTTCCAGACGATTGACAATTTTTTCCTGTTTCACTTTTTAAAGAAAGCATGGTATATTCTTAAAGCACATTTTCTCTACTTTTAAAATATGTAAAAATTACTGTTATTACTTTAAGGTATATTTTTAAAACAAGAATTTTCTTACACTTATGTGTTTTTTCTCGGTTTTATTCGTAATGTTTTAACAAAGCTCAGTTTTACGTTTATTTCTGTGTTGAAATAGGGAAAACAAAATAAAGCTGGTAAAAGTAGAGAAAATTTCCTTTCTAACAAGCCCTTACAGGCCTTCTTATGCTCAGTATTTTTTTAATTACGATAATTTGAATTTGTGACCTTCGCATAGTTTTTATGGAAAAATCGATCAATATTTACCATGTAACATCAAGGTCGATATTGTTGCGTCTTACTCGAAACAACCAATTCTTTTATAAGACTGTTTTGACCATTTAAATATATATTTTTTACTGAAATAAATGCATAATATAAAAATACATTAAAAAAAAACAAATATATACTATCGTTCTGCCTTTTGTGTGAAATGAAATGTCAATTCATTCATCCACATGTAATGATGAAAATTTCATGTAGTGATGTACATGATGACATTGATGTACAATGTTGAGAAAATTGTAGATTCCCTAAACGTCAATCTTTACTAAAAAAAATCAGATTTTAATATAGTTGTATCTTGTTATATTGTATACTTAATTTGCAAATTAATTAGATCTATATTGACACGAAATTTAACAATACAAGAACTCGCATTTTTAAATAAATACGACTCATCACTGTATGAGTTGATACGAATTGAAATAACCACGTGTTTCCGCTATGGTAGCAGTAAACAAACAACATGATGGTGATGCGAAATCTGAACGTTAATTTTCATGATTTATTCACGACGAAGATCATCACATCAATGAATCAAATAATACGGACATGCCTTTGGTATTAGCAGGTGAGAATACGTGTATATTGACTGAATAGTTTAAGTTTAAAACGCAATTAGTTCACGTTCAAAAGAAAGCTAAATGTACACATGTACATGTACTAGATCTTCATATTTCAGTGTGCGTATTTCGTATTGTTAAGCCAATTTTGTGTTGCTTTTGAAATTTGATGCTTTTGAAAAACACTCGTAAGTTTAAAGTAAAATCAAAGTTGCCATAATATTAAAAAGATAGTTGTTTTCAGTATGTGTGTACCAGTGTGTACATATACCACTTTCACTTTGAATTTTTAGGGTGCTGGCACCATACGCAACAATACTTTCATCTGTGAATACCCACTTGCTAAGCCCACCATGAACTACGAATGCCAATTAATATGTAAGGACACTAATGAACAGGTAAATTTTTGTTTTGTTATTGAAAATTTCTGTATTTCTAAAATTTCAAAAAATAAAGTCAAATTTCATTTGTGTCATTCTCATGATATAGCATTCATACAAGTTTATAAACATTTGATTTATATTTTGAAAAATAAGTGTTTGAAACACATAATACTTATGATGATTGATAATTCATACAAACACATTATTTAAACACATAATATCTATTTGAAAGAATGCCGAGATATGAAACAATCTGTTTTTATAGACTGCTGAGGTATTTCCAATCTGCATAAAGTTTGTGGTTAGAATTTCCATTTTCTCATTTTTTCAGACACTTTCCAATTATCGTACATCATATATATGGGTGGTCAAACTCACTGGATGGTTTATCAACACTCCCATGCTCACGAACAGCCTTGCCCAAGGAATTTTGCCCTAAAGTAATATTGCAGTCTATTGTCTCCCTTCTTTTTACAACCCTGGCAGCCATGCAGGTATGCAATCTATGAAAACCATGAAGGGACATAGAATTTTTAAAAATTTATAAAAGTAAACCGAGTTCTCGATTTACACAATCCATTCTCTCAGATTGACAATCTGTTATAACAAATTTCCAATTCATATTCTCACAGATTATCTTCCCTCAAATTACACAATCCATTATCTCAGATTGTATAATTCATTCTCTAAGTTTAAATGATACGTTCCCTCGGAATGTAAACTCTTCCCATGATTTCATTGAAATTATTTATCTGTACATATTGGATATGGTAATACATGTTTAAAGAATAGAATATTGTAGTATTTTACATTCAACCTTTTATTACATATTACGGTCCAAAATGAGAAAAATACAAGAACATTTTCAAATCCATATGCTAGTACTGATATTTGTACAACAAAAAATCTTAGAGGTTTTTGTGTTACGTGTATATTAAGATAATTGAAAGTCTGAAATAGTAAAGTGAATATGGGTCCTGTGTAATCATAATATTTCTAAAATAAATATACGTTGAATTAGTTATGAAAGAGGTTGGAAATGACCGGTTGCTGAAACAAAATAAAAATAAGTGAACACACTAATTGATTAAAATGGTTGGATGTATCTGTACATATATGTAATAAAATTCAAGAGCACAGATTGCCAAAATCTTAGGACTGACGTTGTAACAAATCTTGAATTATTAATCTGTGAAAACGAATTACAAGTATGTAATTCGAGATCTCAAATTATGAATCAAGGGGGCGAATTAGTAATCTGTAAGATCGGATTGTGTAATTTGAGATCTCGAATTATAAATCGAGGGAATGATTTAGTATTCGTGGAATTGGATTGTCTAATTTGAGATCTCATTTTTTACTTTTTTGAAAAATTGCTGTGTCCCTTCATGGCTTTCGTAGCAATCTAATTACTGTAGATCACTAAATTTTCGCGACACCTTATTTTCGGGAGATAGTCGTTGACTCTTGATTAGCGAGACAAAATTTTCGCGAGTTGTGGTTATTGCTTTATATATTATCAAGGAATACTATTATACGCGAGAATTAAATTTTCGCGAGCACACTGCCTCGCGTAATTACGCGAAAATAAAGTTCTCGCAAATAAAAAGTGATTTACAGTAAAATTAAATCTTCCATCCACTGCCAGATTTTTTTATATGTTGCGATAGCGTAAACAGAGGTCTGGCTTTAGTCAGATTGCCATATATGCTATTTGTTTTAGTTCAGTAATTTTACCATAATGGTTTACTACAAGGTTGTTGAATTATCAGTCCTGATACATTGACTTAACAATATCATTTAACTACTTGAATCACACAATAGATGCAATCTTAATTTTAAAAGGAAAATCAAATAAATGTAGTAATTTTAGCATTCTTAAGGAGGCTGGGGGGTCAACAAATAAACCAAAAATTAACCACCAGAATTAACTTATTTTTTTATACATGGTATATTAAGCTGTCATCTATTATTTGGCAAAGAAAAAATTCCTACATTTTAGTTTTAAAATTTTACCATTTTTATATCGTTATATGGAGCTCTTCTTTTAAAGGAGATCGAAATAGTCTGAAAATGGCTGCCACCCCCCAGCCTCGTTAATTTTATTTATAAATGTAAATTCATATACACAATGACATGTATCTGTTTCAAAATATTTAAATCTTTTACAGGATAGAAGCTGATCACTTGAACTTGAAAGCAAATAATAATGTCTTGGACAAGTCAAAGAATTTCCTCCAGTCTTACAGAGAAGTAACAGTTGATAAAAGAATGGTGGACACAAAGTAAAAGTGCTCTTCAACATTTTGTTGAAGATTTCAGTCTGATTTGGAATTCATCTTGCAGTATATCTGGATTTGTATATTTGGATATAAGTGTCAAATTTTCAACTTATTGACTAAACAGTTTTGGGCTAAATATTGCCAATGCTATTTGTTATTATTATTTCCCTCCAAGATAACATGTCAAGTCTTTATTGTACCCCTTAAGCTCTGTTATACCAGAAAAATCTTGTAATGAAATCATTTAGTTTTTTTCTTGTTAGATTAAATCCATGAAAATAAAGATTATTTTTAATGGCATCAAGAGAATGGATTTCTTGTTTAACAAAAAGATTGTATATGTGTTTTGCTAGGGGTTTTTAAGAAGCAGACCAGAATTCTTTGCTTGCAAATTTTGTCATTCGCCATTTTTATTACGTCAACTATTAGATGATTTATCCATGTATGAAGCATTTCAAAATTGATATTTACTTACAGTTTAAAGCAGAATTCTCTGTACTGATATGACCTTGACCCCCTGAAGAGCAAGAGTGTCAAGGTCAATTTTTAATACAAAAATGTTCTTTCATCTTTATGGCCCATATATATCTTACAAACAATATCATGGAATATACAAAAAGTGTCTAGAATGTGTCCAGAATGTGAAATAACAAACATGTATATAGCCAAAACCTTTAAAAATGTTGTTGCTTAGCAACCACTTGAAGGTCATTAAACAGATATTTGAACTAAAATGATGCATGGATATTGCAGTTCTGATCCCTTCTTGAGAGTATATTCAGAATTTTCCATTTCAGCATCCATTGTGTAAAATTATGGCAAGAATATTGAAAAGTGTTGAAAAAAATTGATGAAACTTTTGCACTTATTTGACCTTTGACCTCCTAAAAAAAGTTCTAATAAGGTCAAACTTTAAGACAATTTATCTGTTGTATGTCCCTTGTAATTTTATGACCTCACATCTAACTTTTATATGTACTGGTGTGCATTAATGTATCTAGATTGAGTAAAAAATGAAAATTTCTGCTCGAAAATTAAAGAATTCTGCGTTGCTTAGCAACCCCTTTTAAGTAGTTATATGCAGAATTGAAAAAAAAGTTTATGTGTTTCATGTACTACAGTATAATGCTCTTTTGTGGGTATATCCCAAATTTCCTATTTCAACATACATAATACTTAATATTTAGCTTGAAGATTAAAAAGTATCAAAAAATTCCATAAAATTTTGCACTTAATTGACCTTTGACCTCAATTTTTACTAATAAGGTCAGTGGTTGAGCATCTAAATAGTCATAAAATATCATCTATATGAAATTCCCTTCAAAATGGTATGCATTAAGTCTAGCTTTCACCTAGGATAAAAAAGTTAGAAATAATTTAATAATGCCATGTCAAAAGGCCTCCAAAACACGTAAAATGCGCCGGAAGAGAAAGGGTTAAGCAACAGGCAAGTTGCCTGATTTGGCTATATCCTTAAAAATTTTGATATGACCATCCATATAACATACAAATAGACCCACTGTGAAAGATTCTCGACATTAACTGGGATTCACACATGTAAAGGCACGCTTACTTGCATCTTATAGAATTTAAATGTCATTTTAGCACAATCTTTGTTTAACCAGCCATTCGAAGATTATGTTAATAGCTTAGTTAATAGCTTCCTGTGAATTTTTTTTTATTTTTGTATTTCTCCTCTGCCAGGAAATGTCGGAGCTCTTTTCTGGGAGTGGAGTTACCTCCCTTGCCAGCAGCCATGGTGTCCCTGTTTTAGGGCATCTACCAATGGATCCAGTATGTACCGTAGTAATCTTTTCAACTTGTCTTAAATTCTGATGATTCTGATGCTAAAACTCCATAGGCGGATCCAGCCCCCCCCCCCCCCACCCTCGTTCGAATTTTTTGGATATAAAATTTATATGTCCATTATCCTAAAATCAAGGAAAAACATCTCTTATTTGTAAGAATTTGTCACCCCTGGAACACAATTTGGTCTTGCCCTAGACCCACTGGGGGCAGCCCCCTGGACCCCCATGCCTTCTACTGCGTTCCCCTGTTATGAAATTCCTGGATCCGCCACTGATTTCTTACAGTGTATTAAATTGTAACAGTTCTTGTAAACCTTAGCGTTACTTCATGACATCTATTTTATATCACATTCTTTTGATATTTTTAGCTCACCTCAATGAAGTTGGGGGAGCTTATGTAATACCCTCGGCGTCGGCGTCCCAGGTTAAGTTTTGGAGCAGTTTTCTTTTTAAGTACTTCTATGTCCTATATTGATTAGACATGCATGGAAGATGGTTCTAGTGTATTTCATTGTACCAGTCAAAGTTTCAGATGCTGCAATTTCAGCAAAGGAATGATCAGGTTAATGTTTTTGGAGCAGGTTAACATTTTTGGTGCAGTTTTTGGTGTAGTTTTCATTTCCAATTAACTATAAGCCCTATGTTGACCAAACTTGCATGAATGATACATCTAGGGATGCATACTACCGGGCTTGCTTCAGATGCTGAATCTGACCTACATTTTCTGGTGGAGTGAACAGGTTAAAGTTTTTGGTGCAGGTTTCATTTCCAAGTAACTATAAGCCCTATGTTGACCAAACTTGCATGGATGATACATCTAAGGATTAATACTACCGGGCTTGCTTCGGATGCTGATTCTGACCTACATTTTGCGGTTGAGTGATCAGGTTAAAGTTTTTGGTGTAGGTTTTATTTCCAAGTAACTATAACCTCTATATTGACCAAACTTGCATGGTTGATACATCTAAGGATGCATACTACCGGGCTTGCTTCGGATGCTGAATCTGACCTACATTTTGCGGTTGAGTGAACAAGTTAAAGTTTTTTGGTGCAGCTTTTGGTGTAGGTCTCATTTCCAAGTAACTATAAGCCCTATGTTGACCAAACTTGAATGGATGATACATCTAAGGATGCAAACTACCGGGCTTGCTTTGGATGCTGAATCTGACCTACATTTTCCGGTTGAGTGAACAGGTTAAAGTTTTTGGTGCAGGTTTCATTTCCAAGTAACTATAAGCCCTATGTTGACCAAACTTGCATGGATGATACATCTAAGGATGCACACTACCAGGCTTGCTTCGGATGCTGAACTGACCTACATTTTCTGGTTGAGTAAACAGGTTAAAGTTTTTGGTGCATGATTTATTTCCAAGTAACTATGAGTTCTTTAATGACCAAACTTCATGGATGATACATATAAGGATGCATACTACCAGGCTTGCTTCGGATGCTGAATCTGACCTACTTTTTGTGGATGAGTGAATGTATTAGTTTTTGATGCATGTTTCATTTCCAATTAACTGAGCCCTATAATGAGCAAACTTGCATGGACGATACATCTTAGGATGCACACTAATGGACTTGCTTCGGATGCTGAATTCCACATACATTTTTCAGATAACAGACCAGGTAAAAGTTATGGGTGCAGGTCTATTACCAAAAAACTATAGGCTTATATAACATT